TTTCAAAATGGGGCTTTTAGAAAGAAAATGGCAGTTTAGACGGGGCATTTTCAACAGAAATGCCCCTTTGGAAAGATCCTGCACTCCTCATTTTGAGTACAAGATACATCTAATTTACACCCCTCTGCCGACGGAGGAGTGTAGTTTAGACGTAGCCACACTCAGGCACCACCTCTCTAGCTCTCGTTGGCAACAGTTCCTGGCCAACAGGGGCTTTTAGAAAGAAAATGGCAGTTTAGACGGGGCATTTTCAACAGAAATGCCCCTTTGGAAAGATCCTGCACTCCTCATTTTGAGTACAAGATACATCTAATTTACACCCCTCTGCCGACGGAGGAGTGTAGTTTAGACGTAGCCACACTCAGGCACCACCTCTCTAGCTCTCGTTGGCAACAGTTCCTGGCCAACAGAAACTCTAGAGCCAGCACTTGAGATGACGACAGCTTTCAGAGTCACTTGTGGAGTCACTAGCTGTGGGAGGGGCATGCTGATGTTTCCAGGAGCCACACAAGAGTCAGGCCAGGCAGGGATCCTGCCTTAGCCCTGCTGCACTGGTGACTAGAGTTTTAATGGTCCAGTCAGAAGAGCCACCAGGGTCCCTTTTCAACAGCTTTCCAATCAAAATCCAGACACCTGGCAACCCTAAATACTCACAATACTGCAGTCAGCTACAGATGATGAAAATGGGACAGTTTTAGTAACTTGGTCAGATGCAGAGGCAGTCTGTGAGCCTTGAGTTCTACAGCAAGGTTTGCCAGTCTGAGCACAGAGACAAGAACTCCTCTCTCTACTTTTTGAAACTCATCGACAATGAAATGCATGAAGCCATTCTAAGAGCCAGTGTTCCATACTCATATGCTCATGAGGGCCTGAGGCCAATTGGGTCACCTGCCCTGAGAAGAGAGAAGGCAGGCTGAAACTGAGAATGAAGCCCAGCTAAAGTAGGGTGGGGACAGCACTATAAAACCAGAAAGATGAGTGACTAGAAGGGGGCTGTAGAGGAAGGGGTCCACTGTCAATCCCAGAGAAGAGGAAGGTGATCATGGACAAGGAGGAAGCACTGAGAGTCAGCCCTCTGAGCCTGTCTTGAAAAATGTAGTGTAGCAAAAGTCTAGAAGGGATGACAAACTCACAGCAAGTAACCTAAGTTCCCGTGACAGCCATTGGCATAGAGTCCCAAGCTGGGGCTGAGTAACTGTCTGGCAACAGCATTTGGACAGTTGTTCTGTTAGACATTAGAGGTGGACAACATGATAACCTGTGCAGAGGGCTAAATTTCCAGACCAAAGCCTATTGCAGAGTGAGCAATGAGCAACAAAATGGAAGCTGGGTCAATGAGCTTCATTCCCCAACCTAGATGCAAGAAGACATGCTGCAGTGAGTGTAATCCCTTCACAGAGGCTGACCCATAAAAGTACTAAGCATCAGAAACACGTACAATTAAGTGTATAATATCAAAATTATGAACTGATGATCTCGGACTCAAAGTATGAAATGCTTTAATATTAACAATAAATCCCAAATTTAAAAAATAAATACAGGTCCCATCCTCTCAATAGCACCAACAAAAAAATAACATCCAGGGTTGCAACAGAAACAGTCACTATGCAAGCAAGTTACACTGCACTTTTCCAGTCCATCCTGCCACTAGTTTAACCATGATCACAACATACAACCTACGGTTGGTGGTGATGGGACACAGCAAGGCTCAGATTATCCAACAAGTTCTTGGACTGCACTGGAGACAATTTTTTATATCAGAAGGTTGAAAAAGCTACTAGTGGGGAAGCTGTTCTAGATTTGATTTTAACAAATAGGGAGGAACGGGTTGAAAATTTGAAAGTGGAAGGCAGCTTGGGAGAAAGTGACCATGAAATCACAGAGTTCATGATTCTAACGAATGGTAGAAGGGAGAAGAGCAAAATAGAGACGATGGATTGCACGAAGGCAAATTTTAGTAAACTCAGAGAGCTGACAGGTAAGGTCCCATGGGAAGCAAGATTAGGAGGAAAAACAACTGAAGAGAGTTGGCAGTTTTTTTAAAAGGAACATTATTAAGGGCCCAAAAGCAAACTATTCCACTACCTAGGAAAGATAAAAAGTATGACAGGAGATCACCTTGGATCAACTGGGAGATCTTACATGATCTAAAAATAAAAAAGGAGTCATATAAAAAGTAGAAACTAAGTCAAATTACAAAGGATGAATATAAGCAAACAACACAGATATGCAGGGGCAAGATTAGACAGCCATGCAGCACTGCCACTTTGAAATGCTGCATGCAGCCTGAGGTCAGCAGGGGAGTGACCCCGGGCTCCACACGGCTGTTTCTACTCTTCAAAGGTGGAGGTGTCCTACTGACTAGCTGAAGCGAAATGCATCAACTATTCGATTTGCCAATTACTCTCAATTTAACATCTCTAGTATACTTAGACTTCAGTAAGGCATTTGACACTGTCTCACATGATCTTCTTATCAATAAACTAGGGAAATACAACCTAGATAGGGCTACAATAAGGTGGGTGCATAACTAGCTGGATAACCATTCTCAGAGAGTAGTTATTAATGGTTCACAATCATGCTGAAAGGGTATAACAAGTGGGGTTCCGCACAGGTCTGTTTTGGGGCCGGTTCTATTCAATATATCATCAATGATTTAGATGATGGCATAGAGAATACGATTATTAAGTTTACAGATGATATCAAGCTGGGAGGGGTTGCAAGTGCTTTGTAGGATAGGGTCAAAATTCAAAATGATCTGGACTGGTCTGAGGTATACAGGATGAAGTATAATAAGGACAAATGCAAAGTACTTCACTTAGGAAGGTACAATCAATTTAACACATACAGAATGGGAAGTAATTGTCCAGAAAGACTGTAGAAAGGAATCTAGGGGTCATGGAGGACCACAAGTTATACATGAGTCAACAGTGTGACACTGTTGGGATGCATTAATAGGAGTGTTGTGAGCAAGACACAAGTAGTCATTCTTCCGCTCTACTCTGTGCTGATCAGGCTCCAATTGGAGTAGTGTGTCTAGTTCTGGACACCACATTTCAAGAAATTGGAGATGGTCCAAAGAAAAGCAACAAAAATGATTAGAAAACATGAGCTATGAGGGAAGACTGAAAAAACTGGGCTTGTTTAGTTTAGAAAAAATAAGAGTAAGTGGTAGTGGTTCTCAAGTATCTAAAAGGGTATTTTAAGGAGGAGGGAGAAAAATTGTTCTCCTTGGCCTCTGAGGATAGGACAAGAAGCAATGGGCTTAAATTGCAGCAAGGGAGGTTTAGGCTGGACATCAGGAAAAACTTCCTAACACTTCGGGTGGTTAAACACTGGAATAAATTGCCTAGGGAGGGTTTTGGAACCTCCATCACTGGAAATATTTAAGAGCAGGTTAGACAGACACTTATCAGAGATGATCTCTAGACCAGTGTTTCTTAACCAGTGGCATGAGTACACTTAGGGGTACTCAAGATAAGTCTGGAGGGTACATCAACAACTGAAATTTCGAGAAAACTGAATTTTTGTTTTAAGTTTTACAGCACTTTATTATTTTTGTACTTTTTACACCCAAAAATTTCATCGCCTGCCCAGTTATGATTAAGTTGTTAAACAAATGTGTTGCAATGGTAGAAAAACAATGTGTGTGTCTGAAAACTGTAGGTACTGGGGGGTACTTATTTTTTTAAAGGGGTACTTTATTTTAAAAAAAGGTTGAGAAACATCGATCTAGATAATGCTTGGTTCTTCCAAGAGAGCAGGAGACTGGACTTGATGACCTCTCAAGGTCTTTTCCAGTACTAATGGTCTATGATTCTATGATTTTGGACATATGGTTCCCTATAAAGCCACATTTGCTGCATTCCATTCAACTATCCAAGCATTGGCTACAACCCACAAAACATCAGAAGCACAGACATGACTTAAAAGTCCCCTCCCCATCACCACCCTCATCCATCCTCACAAAAAAAAATAGCCTGGGAGGAATTGAGAACCTGTGCAATAATGTCCTACCTTAGCAGTTGGTGTGAATTTGACAGTCACATATGTTCTCTCCCAACTATTGTAGCTAGAATCATAGTACATCAGTGCAGTACTAAATCCAATTTGCTATTTGGCTAATGGTCAGGTAGCAAATTTTGTGTTAAATTTCCCAGTTATTTTTGCTCCCATTAATAAAGATTAATGGGAGCATAATACAAAACCCATTAATAATGATTAATAATAATTAATGGGTGCGCGATTTGAAGGATAAGGCTGCAAATTATTTTTTAATTTCTGTAGAAACTCCAAATTCTAGTATCTCTCCCAATGTTAAACAAATGCCCGTAACTAACAAGGATTCTATTTATTCCAAAATTAATTTGTATTAGCATTCAAATGTCTAGCACAGTAAAACTTGAAAAATTAAGTTTTACTTACATCAAATATTAAATTTAGTGCATTATAAAGATGGATTTTCATTCAACACCATTTAAAAAGTCAACATTTGCCTATACTGACTACACACAGTTACCGCACTTTCCACCAGTATGTCATAATTTTTGGTAAGTGTGGACTTAGAGTTATGACATTTGTAGAGATCAATTAGACTGGATAATTAAAGTAGGAAAGAATATATTCCTTATAAACAGATAAATCTTTAAAATAAACTTGATTTTTTTCATTACTGTCAGGATTTTAAGTTTATTTACCTAGTAACTGAATAATTCACTTTAACAAAAAGTTTTGTGCTGTATTTTATTCTGTTAAGTCTAGGAATACTTCCCTTACATATGTGATAAGATCTACTTTTGCTTTTAGACATGCCTCACACCTGCACAGATGACATTTGAATGAAGACACAAGATGCTGTTAGATTGCTATCTACATTCTCATGTGTCCTGAAATGCAAACATCTGACAAGGTGTTAGGATGATCAAATGAATATTTTGTGTTTTGAAGACTTAAAAGCGAATATTCTAACACACAGTCAGTACTATCCTGACCAACTTCATTGTATACGAAGTGGTAAACCAGAATCTCTTGCTCACTCACACTTTACTTAAAAACCCCTATGCTGCCCACACTTGCTAGTAAATGTAATCTTACGTTCCCGTTATTATCGCCCATCTCTACTTTCCATGAAGCCCTGAAATATGTTATGTCTTGTCCTTATATTCTAAATAGAGATTTTTGGACATGAACTGTTTTATAGTTGTCCCACTTGACAATTAGACAAGGTGGGAGAGGTACTCTTTTACAGGACCAACTTGTGTTGGTGAAAGAACAAACTCTCAAGCTTATGCAGAGCACTTCCCCAAGAAAGAGTGATAGAAATGTAGCCGTGTTAGTCTGGGGTAGTTGAAGCAAAATGCAGGACAATGTAGCACTTTAAAGACTAACAAGATGGTTTATTAGATGATGAGCTTTCGTGGGCTACCACGAAAGCTCATCATCTAATAAACCATCTTGTTAGTCTTTAAAGTGCTACATTGTCCTGCATTTTGCCCCAAGAAAGAGCTCAGTGTAAGCTCAAAGCTTATCTCTTTCACCAGCTGACAATGGCCAAGTAAAAAAGAGATGATCTCACACACTTTGTCTCTCTAATATTATGAGACCAACATGGCTACAACACTACAAACCACTTGTACAACAAATGTTACTAACAATGTATTCTCTTTATCAAAATTGCTATTGATCATTCCAGCATCCAAACCAAACTACGCAGGGTGTGGTGACATTTAAAAGTAATTTATCGAAACAGGAAAAGGGCACAGCGGGATACCCTAGTAGAGAAAAGTAAATTGATAAAATGGAATCAAGATTTAATTTGAAAAAAATTAAATCAGGATAATTTACATGTTACTAATTCTTTAGCAATTTAAGACAATCAAAAAGGAAGAAAAGTAAATGCTTTTCACTTTTAGTTTCCTAATTGGTAGTAGTATTTCAGCTTTTAACTGCTAAGAATTTTCACATTTAAAATGCTCTCATGCACTAAAAAGTTTGACTCCCTTGCTGCGAGATTCCCACCTCACATAATTGAGCCCCGATGTTGACTGAGGCTTCAGAGTATTAGTGCAAGTATGAAAAACAGCAACCCAAAAGACATACAAAACACTTCACCAGAGCAGTTTGTGTGTTACATGCACTGTACCCTATTTCAGCATAGAGTAGTTCTGTACAGGCTCAGCCTTAGGGCAAGGCGAGCAAGGCAGTTGCCGTGAGCCCTGCACCTACAGGACCCCTCACTGAAATTCAAGCCCCCGTGGCTGTACGGACCAAGGCATCCCAACCCGGCAGGCTCTGCCTCCCAGGCCAAGCCAGGGCCTGAGCTCTGGGCAGAGGCCCTGCACCATGTCTGTGTGCACTCCCCAAGCCTCTTCCCTTGCGCTCTGTGACCTAGGCAGCTCCGAGCCCCAGGGAGCCTGGAGTGGGGGCCAACTGTGGCAGCAGGACCCCTGGAGGGCCCAGGACCAACTCTGCATCATGTCCCAGCACTGGCAGTGCTGTCGGAGCTGTGGCAGTGCAGCTCAGCTAAAGCGGAACCTCAAGGTGAGGCAGGCTAGGGAGCAGTAACAGAGAGCCTGGAGTCCCAGCCACTCCCCCCGCCCCCACCAGGCTTCTGCACACAACCAGAGGGAGTCCCAGGCTGGGAGGTGGGGCCACGATCGGCGCTGGGAGCCTTTGGTTGTGTGCAGAAGCCCAGGAGGGGGGAGTGGCTGGGAGGCGGGGCGCAATCGGTGCTGGGAGCCCTGAGCTGACTCTGTCTGATGAGGAGTGATGCCTTGGGGAGGAGAAGCCCTGTCCCTGCTCCTGAGCGCTGTTCAAGCACGTTGTGGTGCTGTAGTCCAGGAGAGAAGCCTGCAGGTGCTTTGTAGTTGCTTTTAGGAGCCTTCCATGGGCTCTCAGCCAAAACTGACTGGGGTGGAATTTCTGCTTCTTCCCACTGGGACACCCAAAGACCTGGCTATGGGGGAGTCACCTTCCTACCCATGGTCACCCCCCCCATTATGTTACCCCGGGGTCTACCTCTCTCTGCTTTGGGTAGCAGGTGGCTGCTTTGCAGAGCAGGCTTTGCTGCCTCCCACTTTGTTCCCAGCTTGGCAGTAGGCTCTGCCCTTGTGTGAGGTCTGCCTCTCTCTGCTTTGGGTAGCAGGCGGCTGCTTTGCAGAGCAGGCTCTGCTGCCTCCCACTTTGTTCCCAGCTTGGTGGCTCTTGGTAGTAGCCACACAGGATGTGTGGTCGGTGTGGGGGGTGGTTTTTTTTTTTGCTTGACAAATTTTTAGCCCGTGTGTTCGGGCAACCCTAACAGCGCATGGCCTCGGCTCTGCCCCACAGTGTATTTAAGAGTTCTAACAAGTTTTATGGGTTACTACTTAATAGGCCATAATAATTTTTTGAATTAGTTACACACTGCCCTGCCATGGCCCTCCGCTACTCCTAAAAATTCCATGTTTTTGCACATTTTAAAGCAAAATTTTGGGAAACAAATGTATTCAAACTTGCCCTCCATTGTGAGAGATAGCTGGTGGGACTGCCTGGACTGGACTCTGCAACCTCTCAATTGGGTTTGACTTTAAACTAAAGCATCCACCGGCCAAGTCCTGCTCTCAGCACGTCACCTCGGGCCCCACAAACTCTTTGGCCAGGCCTGCTTAATATATGGAGATATACCTATCTCACAGAATTGGAAAGGACCTTGAGAGGTCATTGAGTCTAGTCCCCTGCCCTCACAGAAGGACCAAGTACCATTCCTGACAGATTTGCCCCAGATCCCTAAATGACACCGTTAAGGATTGAGCTCACAACCCCGGATTTAGCAGGCCAATGTTCAAACCACTGAGGTATCCCCCCTGTGTGTTGCAGTAAGAAAGGGAAACTAGAAATAGCAGTCTCCAGGGAGCAAAGAGGCTAGAAACTACTTCCCTACTGCAACATCTTCTATACGACCATACATAAGTCAGCTACTCCAGTCAGTCAAAGTCAAATGTTTGGAATAGACGTAAGTGGGGGTGGAGGACAAACCTGGAAAAAGGATACAAGAAGCAGAAGGAAGGAACCTTATCAGGTGATTTCTTTCATACCTGCTCCAGTTGGTCATTTCACTACCAGAGGCAGCAGCACTCTTTTCTTCATCAGTCGTATTCTGCTCTGTCACTGCTGAAACAGACAATTCTGACATCTTACACCGCTCCATGATTACCATCTCTATTTCTGAAAGAAACAGCCAAAATTGAGTATTAAGAGGAAGATGTGAGCTATTTGAAATCTTCTTAATGCAAAATGTGAAAAATAGTGATTTTTTCAAGTGTTATGCATGTAAAAATTAGGGAAGACACTGCTCACATGTCAGAATGCTAATTTTCCTACCATCACCACAAAATATTAAAAAGCATGTCTTATAAGATTTTAAACACCATCTGTAGAAAATGTGCTCAGGGTTTCATAAATAATTATACATTCAGTTCTGAATATAAAATCCTTTACAAAACTATTAGCTATCAAGCATATGAACAGCTTTTTTAAAATAATAGTTATCTGCTGAAAACCTATTTACACTTTCAATTATCTCAGGGGATGTAAGTGAAAAATTGTTTGCTCTGTGAACAACCATAACAAAACTAGTGTATTGTTATGTTATGTAATTGTTTCAGATTTTATAAAATAGTATTTGGAATTTAAAGGAGTAAAATTGTTCTGTAGTAACTAATGCAAATGAACTCTGTTTAAGGCTAAGGATTCAGATTCTGAGTTTAAACCTCATAAGTTTGAAAGGCTTTCAACAGGTAAATTGTCTATGTAGACACTTCCTCCACAATACTGAGTTTTGGCAAAGGCCTCACTAAATTTCTTTAAGGGTACACTACAAAAAACACTGATGAACTAAGACTTTTTCCCAGTAAATATAAATCTGTGCATAGAGGACATTTCTAAAGCAATTATCCAAAGAGCCACTCTTCTCCTACAGGGAGTAGTTATTTCTAGTTCTTCACCACTAACATCAAAACTTCATTCCCTGACAGCAATGGCAGCCCTAAACTATCCTTACACTACATATTTAGTCACATAAGAAACCCCTCACAGCCAGACAGCTGATAGATCCACTAACTGCTTCCAATGGATTAACTTTGGTGCCCTGCAACAATTTGCTCTCTGTTTCTTTCCTCCCCAGTCCTAGGAAGTGCCATGCCATAAAGAGAAGACTGTTTCAGATCCTGAACACTAACTCTCTAAGTTTTAGAGGGGTAGCCGTGTTAGTCTGAATCTGCAAAAGCGGCGAGGAGTCCTGTGGCACCTTATAGACTAACTGAAGTGTAGGAGCATAAGCTTTCGTGGGCAAAGACCCACTTCGTCAGATGCATGTAGTGGAAATTTCCAGAGGCAGGTATAAATATGCAGGCCAGGATCAGGCTGGAGATGACGAAGTGGATCCAATCAAGGAGGATGAGGCCCACTTCTAGCAGCTGATCTGGAGGTGTGAATTCCAAGAGAGCAGAAGCTGCTTTTGTAGTTAGCGAGCCATTCATAGTCTTTGTTTAATCCAGAGTTGATTGTGTCAAACTTGCAGATGAACTGTAGCTCAGCAGTTTCTCTTTGAAGTCTGGTCCTGAAGTTTTTTTGCTGCAGGATGGCTACCTTTAGATCTGCAATTGTGTGTTCATGAAGATTGAAGTGTTCCCCTACAGGTTTTTGTATGTTGCCATTCCTAATATCAGATTTGTGTCCATTGATTCTTTTACGTAGGGACTGTCCAGTTTGGCCGATGTATATAGCAGTGGGGCATTGTTGGCACGTGATGGCATATGTTACGTTAGTAGATGTGCAGGAGAATGAACCAGTGACAGTATGGCTGATCTGGTTAGGTCCTGTGATGGTGTTGCTGGTGTATATATGTGGGCAGAGTTGGCACCGAGGTTTGTTGCATGGATTGGTTCCCGAGTTAGAGTTATTATGGTGGGGTGTGTAGTTGCTGGTGAGAATATGCTTCAGGTTGGTGGGTTGTCTGTGGGCAAGGACTGGCCTGCCTCCCAAGGCCTGTGAAAGTGAGGGATCATTGTCCAGGATGGGTTGTAGATCGCTAATGGGGGAGAGGGTGAGGGACCAGTGGACTCCTGGTCCTTTCAGTGCTGGGCCATAGCCCGTGGCTTTCCCCTGAGCGTGGGGGCTGGCACAGGGGGCAGGAAAGGCGGCGCCAGTACCGCCTGCTCATGATGTCCCGTGGACACACACATCAGGGGAGCCGATGTCCAATATAAACAGGGGTCCGGTCGATCAGGAAACGCTGAAGATGCCAGTGGCGCCGGGGTTAGTATGGGTAACGGTGTCATCACTGGGTCTGGGATCAGAGCCAACGTGGGTACAAAAATTGCATATGCTGGGAGAAGCGCTAGTGCTGACATTTGTGTTAGAGTCCATGCTGGTACAGGCACCGTTCCTGGTGCCAGGGTCGGTACTGGGGCGATATGGCTTGTCTGAGCCAGTACCTTAATCTGTGCCCCTGGCTTTGTCGGTGCCGGGGGGCGCCACAAGTGCCGGTGTCGCTGCTGGGGTCAGATGCAGTACAGGTGCCGGCACTGCCAGAAGTGACAATCCTGCTGTCCGCACCAGGGGCACCACAAATGCCGGGGCGGCTGCCAGCCCCGAGGGCGTCACAGACACTGGCGGCGCTACAAATGCCAGCGCCACTGCCGGCACCGGGGGCACCATAGACGCCAATGCCCTACCAGTGCTGGAGGCTCTAAGAGCGCTGGTGCCGCTGACTATTCTAGCGGTGCTATGAGCGCTGATGCCACTGCCGGCGCCAGATGTGCTGTGAGCGGCTCTGCTGCTGAGAGTGCCAGTATCGGGGCTAAAGTAAACACCAGTGACTGAGCGCAAAAGGGCTGAAGGTGGCGCAAAAGTCAGGGCTGGGGTTGGTGCCGGGGTCGTGGCTGAAAGCAGGGACGATGCCGGAGGCAGTCAGAAAAATGTTGATCCGGTTGCTGTTGCATCTGCGGCACCAGGGACATGACCCCATGCCAATCGTGCTGGCGATTAAAGACCCTGTGTCTGAGCCTACCTGTGCACCAGGGCCCTGCTCGGTGCCGGAAGCAGGAACGCCGACAGGTCTGGGGCAGTTAAAGCTATAAGGTCCCTTGCCACATGGAATGTCTCTGGGGTCAAGGGCTGTAAGTCTCACAGGGTTCCCTCTGCCTCCGAAGTAGCAGTAGCAAGGCTGTTGCCCATCTCAGTCCGTGACTGACTAAGGCCTTTCGGGGTCGAGTGCCTCTCCTTAGGGCACACTTTGCAGCTCTCTTTGCAAGGGGAGAGACCTCTCCGCTCTTTAGATATCCTGCGAGAGGGGGATTGCAAGCAATGCCAGGAAGACTTAGCTTTAGTCTTAACCGATTCAAAGGAGGTCTCACGTGCTGATGGGGGCGGGTGGGCACTGCACACCGACTGGCTGCCCTCTAGTGCTGGGGGCTGGCAAGAGGATTCCATTAGCAGCCTCTTCAAACAAGCATCCCTCTCTCGCCTCGTCCATGGTTTAAAACCTCTGCAGATCTTGCAGGTCTGGGTACAGTGTGCCTCGCCTAAGCACTTTAAGCAGGAGACATGGGGATCTCCGCAGGGCATAGGCTTGAGGCAGGACTCGCAGAGTTTGAAGCCTTGTGGTCCTGGCATCCCCTCCCCAGCCGGGGAGAGGAACAAGAAGGGGCAAAGCCTTTGTATTGGCTAACTATTTACAGACTAATACTAAACCTAAAAACTATTTACAGACTAATAAGTGAACAAGAAGCTAAGGGAAGACTAAGAGTCTAACGCTCCAACTGCCGCACGGGCGGGAAGAAGGAACTGAGAGGATGGAAGGGCCAGCAGGGTTTTATATGTGCTGTTATACCGGTGCCACTCCAGGGGGCTCCCTGATGGCCCTAAGGGTACTGCTGAGGGAAAAAAGCTCTGAGATCCGTGCACGTGGCGCGTGCACACCTAGTCGGAATGGACATGAGCAAGCACTCGAAGAACTCTGTTGCTCTACAGTTTCCCCCTCTTATCAACTAATCTATTAGTCAATGGAAATTCCTTGGTGAGCTTAAACATGTGAAAGTAGAAAGAATTATACTGTAAGAGAAAGCTGAATTATGCTGTAATAATTGAATAAGTTGAAGGAATACTGTTTGTCTCTGAACAGGAAGAAGACAAGTATGTTAATGTTGTTTGTAGGTATGCAGATCGGAGTGCTAGCCAGAGTTAATAGGAAAAGGAACATTAGGTGTTAGGCAGAAAGCAATTGAGATAACCAGGGAGATATGGACAGGAGATTGCTGTGTGCTTGATGTGGAAATGAAGATACTTGACTAGCCTCACACTAATTATGTGAAGTTTTGTCCCTCTTTTAATCCTGTTAATTTTGGCTTTCTTTTGACTGTATAAATCAAGGGGTTTGAACCTTGTATGGCACTCACATTTTCTGGGTGCATTTAACAGAGTAGCTTTGCTAATAAACACAGCGGTCTGACAAATCTGTGAGTCCGGTCTGACTTTGACAATCACAAAAAGGACGCTTATAAGAAGTGGAAACTTGGACACATGACTAGGGAGGAGTATAAATATATTGCTCAAGAATGCAGGGGAGCAATCAAGAAGGCAAAAGCACAACTGGAATTGCATCTAGCAAGGCATATGAAGGGTAACAAGAAAGATATCTACAGGCAGGTTAGCAATAAAAGGGTGATCAGAGAGGGTGAGGGACCATTACTGGATGAAGAAGGTAACCTAGTGACAGATGATGTGGGAAAAGCTAAAATAGTCAATGGTTTTTTTTGCCTCCATCTTCACAGACAAGGTCAGCTCCCAGACTACTAAACTAGGCAACACAGTATAGGAAGGAGGTGGCAGCCCACAGTGGAGAAAGAACAGGTTAAGAGCTATTTAGAAAAGCTAGACATACACAAATCCATGGGTCCGGATTCAATGCATCCGAGGGTACTGAGGGAGCTGACATTCCAGAGCCTTTGGCCATTATCTTTGAAAACTCATGGAGATCGGGAGAGGTGCTGGATGATTGAAAAAAGGCTAATGTAGTGCCCATCTTTAAAAAAGGGAAGAAGGACAATCCAAGGAAATACAGACCAGTCAGCCTTACCTCAGTCCCCGGAAAAATCATGGACGGGATCCTCGAGGAATCCATTTTAAAGCACTTTGAAGAGGGAAAAGTATTCAGGAATAATCAA